CCGTACCGTTACGTAACGTAACGTACGTAACTTAACTACTACTACTTATTAGTTATTAATAGTTACGGTAACGTACGTATATATAATAATATATATATATATATATATATATATATATATATATATATATATATATAATTATAATATATATATATATTTATATATATATGTATTTATAATATATATATATATATTAAAAATATATATATATAAATATATATATATATATTATAATTAAACAGATCGAAAAATTAACGTGCTCGTAAGTTACTTGTGAAGTTTTATATCCTGTAATATATTCATTGCAACTCCTAAAATTTCATAGCGAGACAGATACATGAACCCGCCAGCAATTATTAATACATGTTTATCAGTCACACTAAATTTTTTACATGACCTCAGGCTTTTACGCACCCGTTCAAATGTGTCCAATTACTTTTCACTTATTCTTTCTTTTCCTGGCATAACATACTATTGGCTTTACACCAATCCCACGTTCTTTCTCTTCTTCCCCTAACCATACTCCTTCTCTAATCCCGCCGATAAACTTTACCATAACCAACTAAATATCATTCACTCTTTTAGGCACCTCACTCCCTCAGCTACGCACCTTACACATACCCACAGGCTGTGTCTGCAAGCATTCCGCCCAGTGCCATCTATAACCCTAAATATTACGCGCACTGTAGTTGTTCCTACCATCATCCATGATGGCTGTGGTAACGTTCTTCCCGGTGAACCCTTGAGCCCAAGCGGACTCGACGTTGAGGTCCAGCCTAGGCTTGCCTCCTGCTTGTCCTTCATTTTTCTGCGATTCACCAGAGTGTATACATGAGGTATAGGGGATCGCATTCGGCAGTCATACCATTCGACAGCTATACTACGATAGGGTCTCATTATTTTATCGATGATACAGCTTTTCCTGCCGACCAAGACTTTTTGTGTGTATGTGCACCTGCGTGCTTGTTTACCAACCTGCCTTCCGTGGATGTATAATTGCGTGCGTGCGTGCGTGCGTGCGTGCGTGCGTATGCACGTGTGTGGATATGTGCATGTGCAGGAAAGTATATACTCGCATGGGTGCGTGCAAGTTTGGACACATGTAATGCTTGCATACGCGCGCGCGTGCATGCGTGCGTGCATTCGTGTGTGCGTGCGAGTCAAGTAAGATTGTTGTATAAATATTAAGAACTATTGAGCACCATGATATTTATAATTTTTTTAGGATTTATATATATATATATATATATATATATATATTTTGCCTACACGCAATTCCTATTAAAATCATACTACTATAATGTACTTTCTACATCAACGAATGCACAATATTTCTTATGCACGTTTACAACCTATATTTAAACAAATGATAATAACTAATAATACTCACCAGATACCACTGATACTTAAAGTAGGGATCGGTAGGATTCTTCTCCTCCTTCAGCAGAGATTCTTCCAAATGTAATGGCTTATAACCGCGTTTCGTTCTCTTGAACCCCGTCAGCTGCGTCGCGAATTGTACCTGAATCATACAACATACACACGAACGGATGACATAAAGCAAAGACATTTAGTTTATCGGTGCGTTGGTTGGTTGGTTGGTTGGTTAGCTAGTTGGTTGGTTGGTTGGCTAGCTGACTGGCTCGCTACCTCTGCTTGGTTAGTTAGTTGGTTGGTTGGTTGGTCGGTCGGACGGTCGGTCGGTCGGTCGGTCGGTCGGTCGGTCGGTCGGTCGGTCGGTCGGTCGGTCGGTCGGTCGGTCCCGAACGTGCGGTCGTCGCCGGTCCGTGTTGTTGGTTGGTTGGTTTGGCTTTGGCTGGCTGGCTGATTGGTTGGTTGGTTGGTTGTTGTTCGTTTGGTTGGGTTGGTTGGTTGGTTGGTTGGTTGGTTGGTTCTGGTTGGTTTGGTTTTGGTTGGTTGTTGGTTGGTTGTTTTGGTTGGTTTGTTTGGTTGGTTGGTTGGCTTTGGGTGTTGGTTGGTTGGTTGGTTGGTTGCTTTTGGTTGGTTTGGTTTGTTGTTGGTTGGTGGTTTTTGGTTTGGTTGGTTGGTTGTGGTTGGTTGGTTGGTTTGGTTGGTTGTTGGTGGTTGGTTGGTCTTGGTTGGTTTGGTTGGTTGGTTTGTTGTTGGTTGGTTGGTTGGTTGGTTTGGTTGGTTTGGTTGGTTGGGTTGGTTGGTTGGTTGTTTGGTTGGTTGGTTTTGGTGTGGTTGGTTGGTTGGTTGGTTTGGTTGGTTGGTTGGTTGGTTGGTTGGTTGGTTGGTTTGGTTTGTTGGTTTTGGTTGGTTGGTTGGTGGTTGGTGGTTGGTTGGTTGTTGTTGGTTGTTTGGTGGTTGGTTGGTTGGTTGGTGGTGGTTGGTTGGTTGGTTGGTTGGTTGTTTGGTTGATTGGTTTGGTTGTTTGGTTGGTTGTTGGTTGGTTTGTTGGTTGTTGTTGTGGTTTGGTTGGTTTGTTGTTGGTTGGTTGTTGGTTTGGTTGGTTGGTTGGTTGATGGTTTGGTTGGTTGGTTGGTTGGTTGGTTGGTTGGTTGGTTGGTTGGTTGGTTGGTTGGTTGGTTGGTTGGTTGGTTGATTGATTGGTTAGTTAAGCAAAATACTGACGCGTCGCCATTGATATATTTTGGCTGATTTATCTGTTCGTTATTAATAACGCCTGTAATAATTATGCGCCGCCACGTGTTATCACGCGGCAATCTATCGTTGAAATATGACGTTTTATTTCCAGTCAACGGCCCGTGATTTATAGCGCGTAAACATCCTCACGCACTTCCTAACTCATCAATCATTCGACACGCAGGATATAGCTGCAAACATTTTCATTTCAACATTTAGCGAACACTAACGGGGTTGACCAAGTAATTTTTAAGTAGCTCAGCGTGCATGCGTATCAAAATCTCGTTGTTTGTAAAGGTACGTGATTTTGCGCTATTTATGTGAACAGTAATACTGCAGTGAAAGATTTACTGGGATTTCACCGAAATCAGATTTTGGTTCTAGTAACGTTGCCTGAGATTTGTTTGAGATGGTAGATATTAGATAGATATTATATTAATTAGAGATAAAAGATGTTTTATGCGACTATTTTGCAAATGTAGCGGCAGTAATACTAATAACATATTTGATTAATCCGTCTTTTGTTTATTTATGTACATATTTATGTAAAAGACGCATTGAGTCCGTGCGTGCGTGCTTGCGTGTGGGCGTGTGCGTGCGTACGTGAGAGGGTAGGTACGTGAGCGCGTGCGCGCGTGCGTGTGTTATTTCGGATAAGGTTGGTGTCACTATTTAGACATGAGGTTAAGCGTAAATCTATGCTGTGTATTATCTGCTAGATTAAGTGTAGATCATGGCTACTCACATACATCAGTCGACTAAGAGTTATATTCGCTCGAGCCTGCATATGTATCATCACCCTATCCCTACCTAGCTTGTTTAAACCAAGTTGACTGTCTAGAGTCTAGAATGAAAGGCGGGAAAGGGCGGGAAGATTGGCAGTGTCAATAATAATTTACAGGTCGCTTCTATTATAAGTACGTTTGTTCAGAGTTGCAGCAAACTTTTCGATTGATGCAAGTTGCACCCAGAATCATCAGCATCCCTCACATTCTGACGATGACGTTGAATATCTGCTTCTGATTGAGCCTTGGATCAGCAACCATGCATGTGCTTATTCAGGATTAGCAGGGAAACAACATAAAACTGCTGATAATTCACTTCCGTCATCACGGCTTGAGCACAATACATCTATTATCACCAATGACAATGCAATGAGTAGGATTTTTTTTAAATGAATGACACGGCGTCGTGAAACAATATACTGTAGTCTGTACTAGTAAGTCGATATATAAATGAGTGACGTTCTGCAGGGATATATGGAGAAAAGTCTATCCGAACAATCTTTGTGGCTGATTGGTGAATTTGTAAATTTACAAATTCACATGCTTTTACATTTATGTAAAAGGGAGATTTAACCTGATGCGAACTAAAGTCACATGTGTATAGTGGGGGCCTGAATTAATCTAAAAAACTACCTGGGCTTAAAAACAGGTGTCTAAGCTTACAGATTCAATACACGGAAATGTGAAAACAAAGCACGTCACACACACACACACACACACACACACACACACACACACACACACACACATGATTACTATACGCTATACCATGAAAACTTGGTATCTTTACTCCGCCTCCCTCTAGACGGAAACATGGATTTTAAATTCACACACACACACACACACACACACACACACACACACACACACACTCACGCACACATGATTACAATAGGTGCTGCAAGGCTATACATTGGTTTCACGTTTCCTTAATCTCGCTTGTGTCTCATTTCAGCTTCGGGTAAATTAATCCTACCAAGAGCGTATAAAGGTGGCAAAAATTCCTAAGATTTTTTAAACCTGTGCTTCTTCACGGCTAAACTAAGATCAAATTTGAGTTTTACGTGACAATATTGCTAGCACTCTTTTCTGACGAAGCCAAAGCTTCTATCTAGGTAGAACCTATAGATTATAGAGATACTAACCAAGGGGTTGCTCTTTAGTTTTCTGTGGTGCGGGATGCTTCGACGCATGCGCGCATGAGGCAGGGCTCGGTGCACGAAATGGAATTCCCTCTTTGAGCGCAATACCTGAAAAAGTTAGGTGATTAAATTATAATTACGTCTGCCTAGCTAGGCTGTTCTTCCGACTATTCATTCTGTCTGTCTGTCTGTCTATTTATATGGATTCGAATATATTCATATTTTTAACATACGATTTATTATTATATAAAATGGCATAATTATATATACATTAAATTGCATTATTTGTCATATTAACCAATTAATAGTAAATTCATTAACGAAGAAGTGACCGATTCGATGGCTGTATATAGTCCATTTTTCCTCTATCGCATATCTACCAATTTACGACCGACCATGTAAAAAACTAAATCTTATATTAACGTTCCATAAGTAAATATTTATTAATTTTAATAAACGCGATTTTGAATAGAAGCCACGGGTATACGAGAAAGACTTGTAATGAGAATGTCGCATTGGAATAAGAGTTGAGCGAAGCGAGGGCGATGAGATTCTAAACGTCTATAATTATGGATCATTATGGCCACATGCTACTGATATTTCAGTCCTGAATGTATGATATCAGATGCGCTTACAGTTAGTCGCTCTGGTCCCTGGGGCATCATTATACACAATTCCCACTATATTGACGAAATGGCCTCATATAATTAATGTGTGGTAAGCATAAAGATCGCTGCGTAGGTTAGACACAGCTCTGCCGCAGGGGCTGCTGCGTGGGTTAGACACTGCTGTGACCAAGGGGCTGCTGCGTGAGTTAGATGCAGCTGTGACGCAGGGGCTGCTGCGTGAGTTAGATGCAGCTGTGACGCAGGGGCTGCTGCGTGAGTTAGATACAGCTGTGACGCAGGGGCTGCTGCGTGGGTTAGACACCGATGTGACGCAGGGGCTGCTGCGTGAGTTGGATACAGCCGTGACGCAGGGGCTGCTGCGTGAGTTAGATACAGCTGTGACGCAAGGGCTGCTGCGTTGGTTAGATGCAGCTATGATGCAGGGGGTGCTGCGTTGGTTAGATACCGCTGTGACCTGGAGGCTGTTGCGTTGGTTAGACACAGCTGTGATGCAGGGGCTGCTGCGTGGGTTAGACACCGCTGTGACGCAGCGGTTGCTGCTTGGGTTATAGACACCGCTGTGACGCAGGGGTTGCTGCTACGTGGGTTAGACACTGATGTGACCCAAGGGCTGCTGCGTTGGTTAGACACCGCTGTGACGCAGGGATTGCTGCTGCGTAGGTTAGACACCGCTGTGATGCAGAGATTGCTGCTGCGTGGGTTAGATACTGCTGTGACCCAAGGGCTGCTGCGTTGGTTAGACACAGCTGTGATGCAGGAGTTATTGCTGCGTTGTTTAGTCATCGCTGTGCTCAGGGTTTCTTAATTAGGTCGGTTAGGCGCAGACCTGATTCAGGTTCTGATATGATAACCGATTAATTTATGGCGAGTACTAAATGGTAGCCACCGGTACCTATTACGCTGGTAGGGACAAGTGGAAATATGACATTTCTATGGTATGATGAGTAAATAAAATAGTACTGGTAACTATTTCATATTGACAGAATTGAGAATTGGCATAACTCTAAATGTAAAAGGTAAATGTCTATAAAAAATCTATGTATAGAATAACGATAAGGATACGGGTAGTACCTTGTTTTTCAATGTCAGAAATAAAGGAAAAGAATTCCGAGTAAACAAATTCATATCGTTTAATACGTGTGAATTTAGGCTGGTGAAGCGTAATCAGCAATGCAGATCTATGCATATTACTATGCTTTTAAGTGTAGGTACTAGAAACTAACTGAATTAGTCGATCCTTGTTGAGTTGGCTGTAGTCGAGACACTGTTCACACGCTTTGGCTATCATTTATGATCTCGGATTTAATGATTCTCAAATGATTCTCGGATTTAATGCTTCTCAGATGATTCGCGGATTGATTAAATTATGATTCGAGACTGCATGATGTGATAAAATGGACCATGTGCATGTGGGCAGAAATTTCCACTTACAGCTTAATTTTAGCTTACATGTAATAAGGGTATAATACTTTTTTATTTATACAAGCCCGTGTATATTATAATATGTCTGTACTCATATTTGTGTGACTCTAACGCATGCACGCATATGCATATAAAATATATCGTGTTCTATATCAGACTACACTGAAAGCTGCTTGGCAAAATTACCCCTTCATTTAACCTCCTAATATTCCCTACGAGGATGTTAGATTTGCTTAATTTTCTTGCAAGACAAACAAACACGAACTTGTCTAATCAGAACATGGTGCAACATGCCAGGTTGAATGCGCCAACGGGAACACCATTCCTTGAGGCAATGCGGATTTTACGCAATGCAGGTGCATACGCGTACCTTCGTTTCCTTCAGCGTAGAAGATGGCGTTTTACCACAGACGCGATTCACACAATATTCGAGCAGCGAACTGATCATTGTAGCTCCTTAGAGCTCGCCTTAGCTTAACGCTAATCATATTCCATTTAGTATAACCCTCTCCACCGCTACGGCATTGGCCGGATTCATTTTCATGAAGCTTTCGGAATTTAAACTAATCATGTGACTTTAAGAATCAATTGGATTTTAGTAAACGATCTTGTTTACCTGAACTCGGTCAACATCGTGAATGTTCGAACAAAAATCTGAGTGAGAAAACGTCTATTAACATGACATTATATGCATGCCATTGACATTGTATATTCTAGAGCTTGGTTATGATCCATGCGAAAGACATGGGGTCGCGATGCTAATCATAATGTTACCAGGGGCATTCGCGCAGGTTCTCCACACAAATGCTCTCGTACTCGTACGTATACTCGCCTCTGTATGTACAGCCTAATCAATAACGTTGCTAGGGCAACGCGAGTTATCCGCAGCGTCGAGAAAATCTATACCGGTTAATCACATAGCGGCCATCTATGGATCGCCTATTTATGCCACAGCGTAACCGCGGCGTTCTACATGCCATATGGAGGTTGCCCAGCTACATTCTCTCTATCGTCTATACGCACCTAAGCTAATACATCTCTTCTCCATGTATAATCATACATCGCACAGCTATGATAGTTACAGTCATATACAGCTAACGCTGATATCAAGGAGAGAGTAATGTAACGGCCGTGTTGAGTGGTTAAAGGATAGCAGGGTTACGGTGTAAGCGTGTTAAAACGACGAAGGTTGACATCACATATTCATCGATGGAAGACAGCCGTTAGCAGCCTAATCTCGTTATCAATTCTTCCGAATTCTAGCCATACATACCGGTCCGAGGTTTGTGAATCCGCTCCTCTCTGCGACCATATTGGCCATTTCGTTTCCTCCATCTTCGTTGAGTTTAACAAGAAAGCTATTCGTGAAGACTTCGCTGCCGCTGCATTCTATCACGACTACACTAACGGCGACAATTACACACGTCCATATTTGCAGCCATCCTCTTTCCATATTTATATTGTCGAATTCGTGTTTTTGTTTAGTCTAAATCCGTGATGTTCGTCTACCGTCGTTCCATATGCAAGAATAGAAATTTCCGAGCGGAGTACCAGCGAAAACAAGATGCTTATTGCTGGTACGTCGCGCATGTGCCGACGTCATTGCTGACGTCATCACCTGCGCGCGAGCATTCGGGAGCGCGGGAGCGCGGGAGCGCGTGCGAGTGCTAATGTGTAACCAGCTGCGTACGCGATGCCTGCGTACGCCTGTTTGTTGCGAAAAAACCTATTCAGAAATGCGTGCATACGTATAGCGATCATTCTATTTATATTATATAAAGGTTTCGCATAACTATTTCCTCTGTTATTCTCCGAGAGTGTGCATGAAATAGCAGTAAGACATATATCGCCATTTTACAAATGGCGATGCACGGCTAATGTGGGTAGTAGCCTCGCGAGAGATCTTTTGTTAGACTGACTGTGCGCAATAGATGATACAAGAGAATAGTTTGTGTGGTGAAATGCGTGCGTGCGGGTGTGCGTTAATTTGTGCGTGCTTTAATTTTATGTTTAGCGGGGAGACGTAGTGTGTGTGTGTGGTGTGTGTGTGTGTGTGTGTGTGTGTGTGCGTGGTGCGTGCGTGAGTGCGTGCGTGTGCGTGTTGCGTGTGCGTGTGGTGGGTGTGCCAGGAGTGTGCGTGTGCATGTGCATGTGCGTGTGCGTGTATGTGTGTGCGCGCCCGTGTGTTTGTAAATTGGTATATATGTGTGTGCGTGGGTGCGCGTGTGATTGTGCGTGCGCATGCCCGTATGTGTGTGAATGCGGTGTGTGCGTGCGTGCGCGCGTGTGTGTGATGTGTGTGTGCGCGCGTGTGTTCAAATATTTGACAGCGGGAGGTGTAACCGTGCCCGCCGCCGTCCACTGACTTTCAAGAAAATATATCTTCAAAACTACTCAATGCATTTTTTTTAAGAATTTGACTTATTATTGATGCTTCTAACCAGAATAATATTTTCAAAAATAATATCTAAATAAGTGAAATTGTACTATGAAATCACCCCATTCCCCTTCTTTTTTTTTATTATATGTCATTTTAAGGTAAAATGTCCAATTTTATATATATTTAGATAACAAATATTGATATATGACTCGAGTCTAAATTTCAGTATTTTTGATTTACTGTCAATACATCCCCAAATAAAAGTGACAGATAAAGGGTTAAACCGCCATCCTCAAATCGGACTCCACTCAAACTCGTCTGGAGGACGGGTAATAGCTAATAGTAATATATATATATATATATATATATATATATATATAAATTATAAATATTAATAGTAATATTAAATATATATATATATATAGCCAATACTACGTACGTTGTTGGTTTAACGGTGGGGAATCATTTCCTATCTAAAATATTTTATAGATTATATTATAATAATATATAAATCTTAGCTAAATGTTCTCGCCAGACACTAGGCACACACTAAACGGGGAACAATGGGCTTTAATATGGAAAAACTTTGGTTTTTACAACTGCTACTGATCATAACAACGCACAAATAGAACGAGTTACTATTTTCCGAATGCGAACAAATTTCTAGTTGTGATATATAATAGCAAATCACAATTAAAGCCCGTTTCCAGAAACGTTGTAAAGTTAGGATTAATGTTAATGCTAAGATAACACTTACGACTACTGCTACGAGAATAGCGCTGGCAGAAACGTATCGCAGCTACTATAGAAATCTTACGATAACAGGAACTGGGAAATTTTCTCTCACATGACTGCTCATTATATAATAAATTATATATGACAGTCGTGTCGACCACAGAATCCGAAAGCAGCGGTATGATATCAAATTACCAAGATCCAAGATTTGCCGTGGCTGCGATGCATTTCTGTCAACTCTCGTGACATTATATAGCGAGGCTCGTGAGCTCGTGTAATAGGCACGTGTGATCGTATAGGGTGTGACCAGGTTCGTGTACAACAGATACGTGTGCAAATAGCACTTAAGCCACAAACAGTATAATTAATGCTATAACCACTGAATTACTACGGTAACTCTATTCTTTAATAAACAGCATCAACATAATAAACACATATACAGTACATATCTTATACACCAGGCACATACAGACAAGCGACTGGTTTACAAATGCAGTACATATTTACGAGCGTGGAGTTCTGCAGATCGCAGGCAGGTCCTGGCGGGTCCTCAGTCAGTGATGTCCAGCAGCGACGGTAGCGTGGTGATCCCCAGCAGGTGAGATCAGCGGAACCTGTGGGCTGACATTGTCGGGAGCTGTCAGGCACCGTGGAACCGTGTCTGTCTTCTTGTCGAAACTGTTCGTTATTTATACAACTGGAGGAATGCATGGCCTGAGCGTGGTCAATGCCTTGTTGCGTGCGGATGGTGCAATCCTGTGTCCTTCTCCAGAATTTTATGGCAAATGAAAGTGAGACTTCCTTCTCTAGCGTGAGAACGGCGGTCGGAGTCTTTGTAGATATGGTGGAAGCGTCGATGGGAGTTTCTCGAAGCCTCGTCGGGTAGCCTTCTATTGGTACTAAAGTGTCATCGGCACGCTTTGTGCCATACCGCTGCTGCCACGTGCACGCGACGTGTTCGGCTCGCCAATGCTGAAGGTATGGCACAGATTTGACCCTGGTTGGGTTGTGCGACACCGGTGTTAGAGGTCCCGCTGTGTCACGCACGCCCGGCGTGCGCGGCTTGTCATAAGACTCGTAGCAGTCGTCTCCTTGAGCGGGTCGTAATTTTTACTCGTGTTCTAGTGACTCAGTTTCTTGGGATATTCGTGGTGCAACTTTCACCTGTTACCTTGACTGACATTTGTCAACTAAAATAACCATGACGTTATGCTACGTTAAGCGACCCGTGTCGCTGGGTTTTTATACTAGGTTAATTAATTCGATATCTACGTCACTACACTTAACATATGGATAGTAAGTGCTATCTTTGAATTAACATTCGCCTTGCCTTACGGTCTTACGGTGTTCAGAGCTACAGGCCCTTAGCTATCATGTTCTGTTTCGGAAACATAAACAATTAAATGTATGAACCCATATATATATATATATATATATATATATATATATATATATATATATATATATTATACCTATTGCGGTATTTCGTTCCATGTAACCAGAAGTAGATAATAGGGAACAAAAGACAGATACTAACGACTCTTGCGCCCTCGGCGATGCGGTGTGGCTCGCTGAGTTAATCTTTGAACTATTTACAGCTGCCTTTTGTTTCCAGTTAGGCGGTTTACACATTCAGTTTGCTGGCAACATAATGGAAAATCGTGTCGTACGTTTTAGTCTGTATCTCCGGATTGCGGGTGTATACGAGGAAACGATTTCGCACGATGCTAGGCGAATGTACTGTGTACGATTTGTACAAGTTGGTTGAGTTACGCGTAGTAAATCGTAGGTATTCTAAGACTAGTAAATGACGAATTTCCCTTGTTTATTGAAGTCACACTCCTTCTCTTTGCTATCATCTACTCCTGATGTAACGGAATTAAAATGTAACACATAGCATATAGCATGGTGGCGCCATCTTCAGTATCATTTTTAATATTTCTGTGAGCGCATGCGTGATACAAAACTGCAGGAGAAAATTACCTTTAACGCTCATATTGTATTTCGCTCATTAATTTAGGAAAATAGTTTGAATTGCTACTGCATGCGCGACACACAATAGTAGCATTAGAGTTTTCCATTACTACACCACACTTCCATTACAGTGCTAGAGGATGAAACGTATTATAAAATAATCATCCATTACGTATTACGTTTAAATATAAAATTTCAACTCTAGCGACCCACTTCTAATGTTAAAATGATCAGTCTTATTTGCATGATCATTATTGATTTCCGATTAGCTATAACTCCGAGTTACTTAATGACATTGCTTGATATGTCGTGTTTCACGGGACATGCACGCACATGCACGCATGCGCTCGCGCACATGCCTAAGCACCAGTCGCATGGTAACAGGTCATGGGCGCGCACAATCACACTATACTCCAGCTCACCGTCGCTCTCTACCTGTTACTACGATGCGACGACACAATGCGATAGCCACGTTGTGCGCGGTACCATACCACTTATATTTCGTTCGCATGAATGTCTAACAGCAGCAGGGTTAGTTGTCTGGGGAATACGACGCGCACATCCTAATAACAATCAACACGAATGCCTGTTGCTGACAAGTCCACGCCGTATCTCAATAGGATAAACGACAACAACAATGACGACGCCGACGACGACGACGAAGGTGCCTGTCGCTGAATAGCGAACAGTGGGTGATAATCTTCATTAACATTTGCGCACTGGCGTATATTGCGTCATGTACGCGCATAGCGTCGACGACGTAAAAGCACTTGGTCAATTGTAGCCACCTGCCGATGCATGCAGTCGACTCCCTCCGCATCTTACGATCGTGTAAGGAGCACGGATGGAGCGCAAAAACGACGCAGTGCGCACACGTAGTCTCGAATCGATATCACGTTGAGTGCGGCGTCACTCGGCGGTTGCCTACATGCATGCGCAAAGACTCGCGTAGTTCTTATGTGAAGTGCACGTGTGCCGCTGAGCGGATTTCGGTGAATGGCTATAACTACGTGCTCAAGGACACGCGCACGTGCGGATTAAATGAAACGGAATCGTGATTGTCACAAAAGGTGAGTGAGTGGGTGAGCGAGTGCATGAGTGAGTGAGTGAGTGAGTGAGTGAGTGAGTGAGTGAGTGAGTGAGTGAGTGAGTGAGTGAGTGAGTGAGTGAGTGAGTGAGCGAATGACAGGCCTTAGGCGCAAAGGACCTGCGACCTTTGTTCCTGCAACTCCGAATAGCCGATTCTAGAATGCGCGGTAAAAGATTTCTGGTGAAATCGCTAAGCGCTATGCGAGAAGCGTGCTAACTGCAACCCGTTAGCCGATTCGGTCGCTTGCGACGAGTTGCAAAAATCAATGGTTGTTTTGATTTTGAGACGACTGTCGCTCCCAATCGCTCGCAAAATCTGCCTACTAGAATTGCTTCGAAATCGCAGTGTGTGCGCAACGCGGTGACACGATTGACCGATC